CCATTCGATTAAAAACATAGTGTGTCTTACAGTTTACGGTATATCATAGACATCAAGAGAGAGAGAGAGAGAGTTGTGTTAAATGTTACTGTATTGAATAACAACATACGTATTTGATAATAAACATGATAAATGTAGTGTAATTATAAATTTTAATGTAAGATATTATGAAACCAAAACTTTATACATAATTACACATTATTTAGTGAATAAATTAAAAATTATATACAAAAAAATCAATCATGATTTATATGCGATGATATCATGTGTGCATGATTTTAAAAAACAATAATAAAAAAATTACCATAATTTTTCTTATAATTAAAAAATGTAAATATGACTTTAAATCATTTAAAAGATTTATATTATTAATATTTATTAAAATAATCTAATTTTACGTTTAATTTTATAACTATTAAATGTCTATTAAATAATTTTTACTTTTAATTAAATATAATTAAAGATATTTTAAAATTTTATTCTAGTTTTTACAAAATATAGATTATGATAAATTAATTCACATAATTTGCATAAATATAATTTACATATACAATGACAATAATTATAACTAGTTAAACTAGCATAATAATAGTTATATCATGTTAGTGTTATAAACATTTTCAAATAGCATCAATTTAAAATAAAACAATTACACAATAATATATATGATTATTGCGAAATATCTCAATTAAAATAATTAAGCAAAAAATTAGTCACAATGCCCAAGGTCGCCTGTAACACATGTATTTAGATACAGTATATAAGCATATATTTAAATACAATTATGATATTATAATCGCATAAAACATAATAATTAACATTAATATCCAAACACTCCGTAGAAAGTAGAAAATTTGAAGTTTAAAAGTTTAAAATCTCAAAAATTTTATAACTATTATTATTTATTTAACATTTAAAAAGGTTTTGTCCATAAAATAGTGTTTTTAATGCAAATAAAATTATCATGAAATCATTGGTAAATATGATTATTATTTATACTTTTATACAAATATTTTTATCCATAATTATATTGTTTTGATCGCAAAACTCATAATTGATTTATAATTATATATTTCATAATGAAATGAAAATCATTTCTATTTCAATGCAAAATAATATGTTTTTAGCCAAAAAATTTTTTATGAAATGTGTTTTTTATTTTTATTGAAAATTAATGACTTTTGAATGTTTTTTATATCATTTACTTTTATTTAATATTATTTTTCAAATCTAATACAGTATTTCCTAATACTATGCGTGTGTTTTACATTTGGTTGTCCGCAACTGTCTAACCGGGGCTACGGTGGCCGGGGTTATGGCGACCGGGACCGGGGCTATGGAGATCGGGATCGGGGCTATGGAGACCGTGACCGGGGCTATCGGGGAAGGGACTACCCGGACAGCCAGTATCGGGACCGGGGTTACAATGACGACTGGGAGTTCGCCAACGATCGCCAATATAGAGACAACGGCAATGAAAATAGCATCTATGGCGGGCCTCAAAGTAATTAAACACACATTTAATCTAGTTAAACTATGAATTAATAATAAATTATATTTAACCAGGTAGTTAATATTAATTATTTTTATTAAATAACAACTATATATATTAGGTCCGAGAGGTTACCAACTATTTAGGGCTCAACGACATGAGATTGAGGACAAGGGTTACGATCTCGGGTATGACCTTGGTCAAGATTATGGCCTTAAAATGGGAAGTGGTATTCGCACAGGTATTGGCAAATCATTTATGAAGGGAATGGCAGGACTGGGCTTTGGTAGGGGCAAAGGCGGTGGTGGCGGCCGTGGAGGCAAGGGTGACGATGATGACGACCAGGATGATAATAAGAAGGGTGATGATGATGGTGGTAGTAAAAATAAAAAGGGTAAATCCGACCGAGAAGATCCTTAATTGTTTTTTATTTGTAATTCCATTTATGTATTATAAATATCATTATAATTTTTAATACCTTTATTAGTATTTAATTAATAATTAATGTACTTCTTAGTTGTATGCTTATATTTTTGTTAACATGTTGGAATATTCCGCGCTTACTATTATACCGTATATTAAACTTACTATTATGTGTAAATAAATAAATTATATATTGTTTTTGATGTAAGATTAAATTGTTTTGCTTATACCGAGACTAGTCTATGCAAAAGAATCGTGTGCACGACGATGTACAAGGTCATTTAATTAATATATAAATATTTTAATGATAAGTGAATGCTTTTAATTATAACAAACAATACAAACTGATACTGTATTTTGTGTTGTATAAATATTTGAACATAATAAATACTCTTATGCAATATAATGACTAAACAAGTAAATCCATAAATAAAACCACGTTATGTTATAACGTGTTTAATGTTATAAATTACTAGTATTACTACGTTTACATTTAATTAGGTATTCTACATTGTACTAATATTGGCCATAATCATAATGGTGCATGGTCAACACACAAGGAAACGCAACAAGGACAATAAAAATAAAAATCGCAATGACCAAGATGATGATGAAAAGGATCATGATGATGACGATTACGACGACAGCGACAGGGATAGTGATGGGCGCGAAAGGGAGGGCAGGGGTGGACGAGGGGGTGGGCAAAGGGGTGGAGGACGAGGTGGCCGTGGCGATAGAAACTATATGAACACTCGCGATTACCAGGATGACCGTGATCATTGGGAACGAGACAAATATACCAGGCGCGTCGATCCGCCCTGGAATGTGGTCGGCCGTAGTTTATTGAAAGAAAAAGGTACTTGATTGTAAAAACATTATTTAGTACTATTTACATACTTGTATTACTTAATTGCTTACTATGTTTACTATCTATGATAAACACTCTCATTTATTACCTAGATATACCGAGCATAGGCTACGGACCATTCAAACAGGACAGGGGAGACATAGCTGACAGGAGCTACGATATCGGGTATGTGTTGGGCCACGAGTACGGCGAGCGTATGGGCGATGGCATCAAGACTGGGATTAAACAGTCGTTTGATGGCATGACTAAAGGAATGGGCAAAAGGGGTGGCAAAGGCAAAAAGAGTAATGATGATGATGAGTAAATTGTATCATGATATTTTTGTTGTATGTGTTTATCATTTATATTTACGTATGTGTTGTAATTGTTTGAGAATAAACTTTTCACTTTTTGTTTGTAATAATGCACATGGTTATGTTTACTATAATCCTTACTTGCTCAGTTTTCTAATTTTGGAAATTATTTTATTTTATTAATGTTTTGTATTATAAGTTTTACAGATGAAATTTTATGAATCAAGTTTTGCTTGTAATGATATAACTGTAAAACATCCTGTAGTTTATGAAAATTTTATAACTTAAAAATTTATTAACATTAATAATTTTTTACTCACAAAATAATAAATTTCTTAATTAAAAATAATGTTTTTAATGAGCATCACATGAATTGTGAGATAGGATGCTATTTATAAGCATTTAATTTCATAGAAACACAATTATAATGTGCAATAATACATTATATTTATAATTATATAGTAAATCAGATGTAAAATCAAAATGATTAATTACATTATAGTATAATCAATACAAATATCTAAACACTTATGAATAAATAATCAGTCAATTATGTCGGGATGAGTTTTCCCAGAAAACCAAACAAACACAATAACAAGTGTTAACTTTTAATATTACTTATATTTATACGTGTATATCATATAAAAAACTGCATGGTTAATTTTGTTTGTACCGCAAAACTATTAATTATAATTAGATGCCATTATTTTAGGCAAAAACAATATATTGCTATTTGTTTGTCAAATGATATTTCATATACAAAAATATTAAACTGAAAAAAATAATAAATATATTTATATATTAGATGTGAATACGAGTTGTTATTAATAATTATTTTCATAAACACATAAAACCTCACAAAAGTGATCATAAGTACAACGTTCATAAAACTTATCAAATGTACAAATTTAATTAAATAAAACAATTCACCACAAGAACAATCATCATGAAACTATTGGTAAGTCTATTATAAAACTTAAAATGTAAATAATTAAAATTTATAACCAATTAAAAATCACCTTAATCATTTCCACCAAAGTTAGCACTACTACTCTTCATATGCATAACAATCGCTATAACAAAACCTCTGCAAAAGAAGGGCCGTAACAATAGGGGTGGCAGTAGTGGTGGCAAAGATGATGACGATGACCATGGTGAAGATACCGATGGTGGCACCGATGATGGTGAAGATGATGATGACCAGGGACAAAACAATAAGAAAAAGGGCGGCAAAAACAATCGAGATAACAATGGGGGCAACAATAAAAAAGATGCCAAGGGCAATAAAAACAACAAAAACAATGATGATAATGAAGACGGGGGTGGAGGGGATGACGATTATGATGATGGTGGTGGCCAGGGTGGTGGTGGTCGCGGTGGCAATAATCGTGGTAATAAACGTAATAATAAGGGAAACAATGGCCAGTCAGGCGGCGGCGATGATTACGACGATTACGGAGATGACCAAGGTGGCTCTGGTGGCGGCAATAGAGGTGGCCGTAATAACGGTAGAGGTGTCGGCGGATACGGCGGGGGTAATGGCGGTCCAATGAGAGGAGGAGGCGGTAGAGGTGGACGCGGTGGCAGTTCAGGAGGTGGCGGTCCTGGTAAAGGCGGTAGGGGTGGACCCGGTGGCGGCGAAATGGGCCAATTAGGGTATGGAGTCTATGATTATTACGATTATGATAATAATTACGGTGACATTGACCTTGGTGATGTGACAAACGTAACCAATGCATTGCAATATATCGATAATCTGGAAGCTATTATGTTTGCCCATAGATATCAAGTGGGCTTTGGGGCCGGATTTGGTGTGGGCCGCGATGTCGGCCGCTTTCTCAGTGAGTAACATGATCATTTCAATTTTGTATAACTATAATTATAAAATCAAAAATATAATGTAAAAACTGTCAATAATAACGATTAAACTACAGCTAAACAAATTGAACCCATTTTTAACAGTGTTTGGATTTAAATAAACAGTTTTATGTGTTATTTTTATAAATCCATATATTATTACAATATTTATTAATTTATAAATTAAGAAAATAATTAAGTAATTTATTTATAGTCTTTTATATTGAAATCTCTCTCTTTGCCTCCACTCTCATCCTCTTCATCATCGCCCCCACCCTTACCTCCCTTTCCCTTATTTTTNNNTCTCTCTCTCTCTCTCTCTCTCTCTCTCTCTCTCTCTCTCTCTCTCTCTCTCTCAATTAATTATTTAATTAACTGGCACAAATTATAAATTAGCTATACATAAAAATAGTTACAAATTAAAAATAATGTTTATAAAACTAGCTAAAAAATTAATACCCCAACAAAATACAGGGGGTATTAAAGACGGGGCGAAAAAACAGATCGAGAAAAACAATCGCAAAAAACCCAAATCCAAAAAGGACCAAGATGAAGACGAGGATTACCCCGATAATGAAAAACCAGACAAAAAAGACCAAGGTGGTGGTGATAAGGATAATGATGGCGATGGTGGCGACGGCTTTATACGTAGCGACGGCACTGTCGGCCGGGAAGGCAAAGGCCGGGGAAAAGGAGGCAACAAAAACGGCGGCAATAGAGGCGGCGATGAGGAGGACAGGGATGGAGAGGACGACAACGACGGCTCGTCCGGTGGCGGAAAGGGAGGCAAAAATGACAACAAGAATAATAAGGGAAAGGGAGGCAAAGGTGGCGGCGATGACGATGAGGAGGGAGACGATGGCAAAGGAAAGGGTGGCAAAAGTAAGGGACGGGGAGGCGATGATGGTAACGATGATGGTGACAGCGACGATAACCAAGGTGGTGGTAATAAGCAAAAGGGTGGCAAAAAGGGCCAAAAGGGTGGCGACGATGACGACGAAGAGGGAGGGGACGAGGAGTCGGACGACGGAAAGTCTAATAAGAAAAAGGGCGATAAAAAAGGCAAGTCTGCCGGCGGTGGGGGCGACGACGACGAGGAGGGGGACGGGGATGAGGAGAGCGGTGGCGGAAAGGGTGGCAAAAATAAGGGAAAGGGAGGTAAGGGTGGGGGCGATGATGAAGAGGATGAGAGTGGAGGCAAAGAGAAAGGAAAGGGAAGAAAGGGTGGTAAAGGAGGTGATGGAGAAGATGACGAGGAAGAGGGTGGCGATGATAGTAATGGTGGAAAGGGTGGTAAAAATAAGGGAAAGGGAGGTAAGGGTGGGGCCGATGAGGAAGAGGATGAGGACGACGACGGGAAAGGGAGTAAGAATACAGGAAAGGGTGGCAAAAAGGGTCAGAAGGGCGGCGACGATGAAGATGATGAAAATGGGGGTAAAAAGAAGGGTAAGGGAGGGAAGGGTGGAGACGATGACGACGAGGAGGGGGACGACGATAATGAGGGCGGAAAGAGTGGGAAAAAGAAGGGAAAGGGAGGTAAGGGTGGAGACGACGATGAAGAAGATGACGGCGAGAGTGGGGGCAAAGGGAAAAGTAAAGGAAGTGGAGGTAAGGGAAAGGGAGGCGACGATGAGAATGATGAGGAAGATAGCGACGATGGGAGCGGTTCTGGTGGTAAAAAAGGTGGTAAAGGAAAAGGGGGTAAAAGTAAGGGTAAAACTGATGGCGAGGACGACGACGAGGATGAAGAGGGCGGCGATAGTAATGGTGGTAAAGGGAGTAAAGGAAAGGGAGGTAAGGGTAAGGGAGGGAAGGGTGAAGGCGATGACGACGATGAGGAGGGGGACGACAATAGTGACGGCGGAAAGAGTGGGAAAAACAAGGGAAAGGGAGGTAAGGGTAAGGGAGGGGGTGATGACGATGATAGTGATGAGGGTAGTTCTGGTGGTAAAAACAGCAAGGGCAAGGGATCTCGGGGTAAGAGAGGGGGTGGGGGCGATGATGAAGATGATGATAGTGATAGTGGAGGGGGTGGTAGTAGTGGTGGTCGTAGTAGTAATAGTAGTAAAAAGGGAAAAGGATCTAAGGGTAGGAGCGGCTCAGATAGTGATGATGATGAGAGTGGAGATAGTGGTAAAAGTAGTAAGAAAACTAACCGGGGTTAGAATCGGGGGCATAGGGTCGAGTGGCCACGCCGGCAGACTAATACAACTAGATTATTAGGTTTATACATATAATTGTTATTATGTTTTTTAAATATAATTGTAATTTTGTAATTAATTAATTTTTATTTATATGATAATATTTGTAATCCCTATAAATACTGATTAGTGATTACAGTGTTTGTTAATTATCATTTTCATATAAAATGTGATTTTTGTTTTATTAAACTATGAACTAGATTGCATAATAAATGTATTACAAATTAATACAAATAAAATCTAGACAAAATATATACATGTATTATTCCCACATATAAATGTACGCAATTAATACCATGATGAATTATTCATGTGATGACATGCGATGATATGTTTTGTCAATATATTTATTACGATATTATATGGAATTTTTTATTGTAATACAAACATCCCATTTGTAAACATGATTAATGATTAACTACTATGCCCAGAGAACATGGTTAAATCCAGTTTATGGTTAACCAGGATAGATTTTATAAATAAATAGGGTACAAAGGGTTTATTTTAATAAAAACTTATGTCAACAATTTTTATCTAGATTTTTTAAAATTCTAACACATAACAAATAATATTGATAATTAAATAATTTAGTATATATGAGGATTATTTTTGTATAAATAACTTATTAATTACTTATTTCATATACATCATGCCTAAACCACATGATAATTATTATTCCGGTATAATTCCAGCGATGAATAATACATATGCCATATATTATATAAAAACATTTGCTACATATAATAATCTATCACTATTAAATGTAACATTATTTTGCTAACATAGCCCTCATATAATCCTAATTAGTTTGTTCAAACATTTTGAACATGTTTAAATTATTAGCAATTCTGTTGGTTACAGTAACGGCCAGTGAGCTGGCACGGGCTCAGGCACCACCACCATCATCAATCAACACAACTATTACAACTAATACAACTGCAACAAGTCCGCCTTGTTCAACCATTTCAAACCCCACAACAATTGCACCAGGGTCCGATGGATCAAATGAGACAACAGCGTCAGAAACAACAACTTCACCTCCATCAACTGATTCTGGATCAACAACATTACCACCTATCTCGAGCACCATACTCAGCATACTATCATCTACATTGACTGATGATGATGATGATACACTCCCAAACAATTCAACTGAACTTGGTAATTCAACATCAGACTCAGCGTAATACTATGTAGATAAATGGCCATAACAGGATTGGTCTTGAAATGCACTAATCTATCTACATGTATAATTTACATAAATATTAATTGTATTGATGTTTAATGTAAACTTTATCTAGTATATTACTAGTATTTAATTTAATTTTTATTGTATAATGTTAATACTATTTATAAGTATTATAATTATTTTGTTATAAGTAATAGAATTTACACCTGGTAACAAATAGTTATTTGAGCAGCTAAATATTTACCAATTTTAATTAAGATGTATACTAATATTAGAAGTTAATTAATTTAATAAACTATTTGTTTTGTGTATTAAAATAAAATGTTAAAGTTATAATTTAAATATTAGTTATTATTATGATTGATTAATAATAGATCACAGCACTAACAATAAATTAAATTATTAATTCAACACTAGTTAAATAAGTGAGTACAGTTACATTAATAAAAATTAATCAATCATGTTAAATAAATATATAATAATTAACTTAAGATTTAAATATGTAGAAAAACTAAGCATATATAACTTGGCAAAATGCTAGGTAAATATTAGTGTTTGTCATAGTGCTTTACATAGTGCTTAATTGTGTTTTAATTGTGCTTTACATAGTCTTTGTCTATTTAAAACATAAATGATTACCTAGCACTATTAATAACATGTGTTTAGTCAATGTGTTAACCCCCATTACATTAATACTAATTATTATTTTCTTGGAATTATATCTCGATGATTATTATGTGTTAAATGTAGTAATTTTCACGCCGTTTTTAATTTGGCTCGTGGTCAATTTAACTCTGGAAGGAATAATATTGGCTGCATATGAAGTTGATAGAATGATTGTGGCTCAAACCGGTGAAAACGTAAAACCTCTAACCGGATTATTAGTCAAAATTGTAGCCTGCTAATCTAATTAATGAAATATGTATTAATAATAAACAATACATAAAATATAAAAATTATAAATAAATATTGCTATTCTGCTGTAATAATTAATTTAATTGTAAAATACCCTTCTATAATTTTTGATGTATAGATTTAAAATTAATAAAAATACAAACAGTTTAAGTTATTTATATTATTATACAATACCGTGACATCAATTGTAGAAAAATATAATTACTATTAGTTTAATAGAAAAATAAACTTATATTAAAAGATTGCATTAGAATTATTTTTATAAATCACAGTGATCAATGACATTAAATGATTTAGCAAATTTACAAAATACATATACCGCATATAAATCTATTGATTTAATTATTGTAATTAATTGTTTGTCAAGACTATAAGTTACAATATTACTGTACACTTAATTGCCATTTCCATTATGTTGAAATACTTATTTATTGTGTTTTCACTAATACTCAACGTGTTTGGGATTATGTCATTTTGGGCATTACTTTGGTATATTATTCAATAGACTTTTAATTTATTGTATGTAAGTATTTTATTTTCAAAGTATTGTATAAAGAGTGAGTGAGTGAGTGAGTGAGTGAGTGAGTGAGTGAGTGAGTGAGAGAGAGAGAGAGA